GAGACTTCACACTCAATTAGGAAGCTGAGAAAAAAAGGTTTTAAACAAGGAGTTGGGGTTACAATGGCTGCCTTGAAAACAAAGCTTGGCTGTCCATTCCTGCATGGGAGAAAGAGCTCACAGAACTAAGCATCACGAGGTCTGACAAAAGGTGTTTGTTAGGTTGTCTGTGTTTTCTTCACCATGGCAGCTTGCTTCCTTCTCTGAAGTCCCTGATCTCCTATTAGTGGTGTCTGAGGTGGTGGGTGAGGGCTCAGATGGGGGGCAAGAGAGCTCTTTCTTCTTCCTTGTCTGAAAGACAGTTAGGGATGCACAAATTCGGAACAAAATCTTGTTGATGTCATAAGGCTGTTCTGCTTTCTTGCTAAAACTTGGTTAAACAAACATGGTTTCTGCCTGCACTATACTCTGTCCACCCACAGTGGTATGTCTGTCCTACCTTTATCAGTTGAGTAAGGCTTAATCAGTAGGGTCGGGATGAAGGACTTTCCCTATAATTAGAGCTCAAACTCTTGCATCTTCTTCTGTAACTTCTAGCAGGGTCTCTACACCTCTGTTTTCTAATTTTGAAAAAAGGCAACAGTAATATGAACAACAATGTTTACATCAGTCTGGCTTTGGAGATAAATTATTTTGCATAAAACACCTAAATCGAACTAAGGGCTACTCATCTCTTACTCCAACAAAATCACCTTTCTCTGACACACATTTCTAAACAGGTAATTGATGTAAGTCATGTGCTATAAAATAACTTTCATTCTATGAAACATGCAACATTTTCAGGTGGGGATTAGTATTGAAGTTTACCGAGATATAATTCATCAGGGATGACTAGACTACTGGCCCACAATTCTTGTTCTATTGTGCCACCTTTCATGTTGAATAAGCACCCTTCCTGGGAAAAGGGTATTTCATTACCTAAGAAGAAAAAAGAACTGCTGAAAAGGAGCAGGGAGAGTAAGGGAGCTGGAGACTGCAGGCTGGTATGCGTCCACTGGCAAGAAAGTCAAGAAATAGTGACCAGAGAAATGTATGTGCTGCATGTCTGTTGTTTTTATTATTCAGATTTCAGATGATCACAAATATTCCTTTTAAAACAAGAATATATCACAATATTATTTTGGAAATAGCAAAAGATGTATTTAGAGAAGTGGTACCCTTCGCTGTAGTGAATCTTTATGGATGAAAGACGTAAAATCATAGAGGAAGGGTGATCATCCAGAAAAGGGAAGCAATAGAATTTACCATGGGATCCCAGAATGGAGAAACTTCAGGAGGCAGCCCAAAGCCAGGAATGAGTCATCGGTAAGCCTCTGACACATATTCAAGCCTTTTTTGTCCACACAGCCTTGCTTAGGGCACAGCAGACATAATGTGAACAGGCAGAAGACGGAGTCTTCCAACACAGACTTAAGTCCTGACATTTACCGTGTTGTTAACTAAACACTTTGAACCTAGGTCTCCAGACTTTAAATAACAATGTAGTACCTACTTCACATTTTCTTTTTTGCTGTTGTTTTTTCTGTAAAGAATAAGAGACATAATGAGAAAAGGCATTCTGTAAAGCAGACTATCATCACAAACGTTAAAGAGTTAACACTTAGAAAGTACTTTAGTAATTTTGTAAAAGGGGTTGGAGATGAGGGGAGAGGACAGTGGACAAACCCACCTGTGTCTACTGATGATTGCTTTATTGCCAAACGCCAGAAGCGTCTTCAGAGTGTGAGTCCATCAGCCTAAAGTTCCCTTCTTTATATCATGTTTGCTGATATTCTATACTAGGAACATTTTCTCAATTTAAACTAGCAGAACATGTTCAACATACTTTCTGTGAATTCTATTCATGGGTTTTTATTTCCATAAATTTTAAGTGAATGTCATCATTCGATTGTCTGCCAGGTTACTTCAAAAGCGATTGTCCTATTAAGCAAAAATTTCTTCTTTTCTCTTTCTACATTCCCTCCTGTTACTGCAAGGCATTTTCTATATGGCTTGGACATGTGGGAGATGTGCCTGGAGATAAAAACTGTCACAGACTTCTTAGTTTATATTTTCATTTCTCTCGCTATGCATCGGAGTGATTGTGAAGAACAATTTTCTGGCAGCCACACTGGGTGTTTTTCACTGAGACACCATGACAACTAAATGCACCACTAGTTTCTCTGTCTGACTGGAAGACACGTGATCACTTCCTGTCACATCAGCGAAGATGTAGAACGGGAAGAAACTGGAAACAAAACAGAACTTTAAGCCCAGCGGCAGGATGTTCAGGTTTCTCCAAATGCTCAATTCAAGACCCAGGAAGCCTTGCTGCTCACTTGCAGGAAAAAACACCTTGATGGTCCTCACTGCTAATTACCTGACAAAGAACTTGGTGCTGAATGGCGTAGCTGAATGCCAGTTACCAGTGGGAGATGTCGAGGAGGCCGACTGGATCAATGCAGCATAAATAACTCAACCCAGAATTTAAAACTGAGACTTGGCAGCATTTGTGGTCATCCTTGGAAACTTAGAAACACTAGACATCTGCTTTTCAGAAAAATCAGACATATAGACAAAATTTTGTTTTACGGTTTTAGAGATACACAGGTCCCAAGTTCATTACTCTTAATTTAGAAAAATTAACTTGTGGCATAATTTATACTGCATGACGGCTACTTGCATGATAAGAATAAGGAGTGGTTTGGATGTACCAATTTTTTAACCTGATTTTTAAAATTGAGTTTCAAAACAGTGCATACTTCAAACAGTTCTAAAATACCCATCATTTATTTAGTTAACCTATCCAACTGTTCTTTGCATGTCTGCCGTTCTAGGCAAAGGTACAACAGAAATGATTAACACATGATCTCTGCTTGGCCCAGGAAAGAAGACCCTGGAACTGAAGGATGAGGGAATCTCCAGGGCAGAGATGTGTGAAGTACAGAGAAGATCACATTGCTGTTACCAGACAGATCAAGCCGTGAACCATGTCTGCCTCTCACTTGGAACGACTTGCTCCTCCTGTTATTCCCCATGCAGTTTGCTCATATGATTGAAAAGCTCAATCTGTTTGAACATAGCTTAATAAGAGTTGTGGGTTTTCAAATTCCACATAGTCTAGCACGGGACTCTGATGTTGAAAGGAACAATATATGCTGGTAGAATGAATAAGTAATGGAATGAGGCAACATAAGACCAACCTCTAATTCTGCGCAGAAGTTATTTAAGGGCAGCGTTGAGGTGACCAGTAATTTTAGTAAGAAAGAGTCCCTGCAAAACTCTCCCTTTAGGGAAAAGCAACAAAGTATTCAGTTCTAGGCCAGAGTCTCTTTGAGAGCACACGGGCCATGGTCTCAAAGAAGCGGTATAGATCTTGATGATAGGTAGCCCGTAAGTGCTCTGAGGACAGAATCTGTGCCCAATGGCTGTTCATTGTAGGGGCCACTCTATGCAGGCTGTACTGAATTTGGATCGTGATAGAGAGTGGTCCAGTTTTCCTCGGCAGAACTCTCACACAGTGCAACCCTTAACAAAAAAAGAAAAATGAACTTCATGGGGAAATTCAAATAAAGCCAAAGAAGTGACATAAAACAATGACACCAAGGAGCCATGCTTTAGCAGAACACACTCTTTAAAAACAGGAAAACCAAAAGTAATTATTATGGAAAACTTCAAACATAAAAAAGTAGAAAGACTAGTGTAATGAACTCTTAGGAGCCCTGATAGCTATTGGTCCACTTACGGCCAATATATATGTTTTTTTCTTTTGGAGACAGAGTTTTGCTCTTGTTGCCCAGACTGGAGTGCAATGGCACGATCTCCACTCACCATAACCCCTGCCTCTCGGGTTCAAGCGATTCTTCTGCCTCAAGCCTCCTGAGTAACTGGATTACAGGCACATGCCACCATGCCCAGCTAATTTTGTATTTTTAGTAGAGATGGGTTTCTCCATGTTGGTTAGGCTGGTATTTAACTCCTGACCTCAGGTGATCCGCCCACCTCGGCCTCCCAAAGTGCTGGAATTACAGGGGTGATCCACCGCGCCCAGCCACGGCCAATATTGTTTTATGTATAACCCCTCCCCACCAATTAACATATCTTTAAAATAATTTTTTATCGATATATAATAATTGTACATATTTTGAGGATACATTCGATATTTTGATACCTGTACACAGTGTGTGTAATGATCGAATCAGAGTGATTAAGATAGCCATCACTTCAAACATTTATTTTTCCTTCACGTTGGGAACATTACAATTCTTCTCTTTTAGCTATTTTGAAATACACAATACATTATTATTAACAATCATTTCCGCACCGTACTATCTAGTAGTAAACATCCGTGCTATCTAGCTGTGAGTTTTGTTGTTGTTGTTATTGTTTTGTTTTTGTAGAGACAGGGTCTCACTATGTTGCTCAGGCTGGTCGTGAGCTCCTGGCCTCAAGTGGTCCTCCCATGTCTACCTCCCAGAGTATTGAGATTACAGGCGTGAGCCACTACGCCTGGCCCCAACTGTATTTTTGTACCTCGTAACCAGCTTCTCATCACTACCCCTCTCATATTCACCCTGTGGTAACCACCATTCTACTCTCTACCTCTGTGAGATCCACTTCTTTTTAGCTCCCACGAATGAGTGGGAACATGTGATATTTGTCTTTCTGTTCCTGGCTTATTTCAGTAAACACAATGACTCTAGTTCCATTCATATTGCTACAAATAGCAAGTTTTATTCTTTTAATAGTTGAATAATATTCCATTGTGTATATGGGATGTACCACATTTTCTTTATCCATTCATCTTTTGATGGACATTTAGCTTGACTCCATATCTTGGCTATTGTGAACAGTGCTGTAATAAAGATAGGAGGGCGGATATCTCTTTCATATACTGATGTCCTGCCTTTTGAATATATAAATAGCAGTGGGATTACTGAGTCAATGGCAATTCTGTTTTTAGTTTTTTCAAGAAATTCCATACCATTTTCCATAATGGCTATATCAATTTATATTTCTACCAATAGTGTATAAGAGCTCACCTTTTTCTGTATCCTCACCAACATGTGTTATTTTTTGTCTTTTTGATAATGACCATTCTAACTGAAGTGAGATAACATCTCATTGTGGTTTTGATTTGCATTGCCCTGATGCTTCATGATGTTAAACATATTTTTACGTACTTGGCCATTTGTACATCTTCTTTTGAGAAATGTGTATTCAAGTCTTTTGCCAGTTTTAAAATTTGATTATTATGATTATTATTTTGCAATGGAGGTTTGAGTTCCTTTTATACTCTGGTTCTTAATTCCTGGTTGGATTAATGGTTGGCAAATTGTTTCTCCCATTCTTAGGTTGTTTGTTTGTTTGCTTGCTTGTTTGTTTCAGACAAGTTCTCACTCTGTTGCCCAGGCTGGGGTGCAGTGATGCAATCACAGGACACTGACGTCTTAACCTCCCCAGGCTCAACTCATTCTCCCACCACAGCATCCTGAGTACCTGAGACTACAGGATTGCACCACTGTGCCTGGCTAAATTTGTATTTATTTTTTTGGGGAGATGAGGTTTTGCCATGTTGCTTAGGCTGGTCTAGAACTCCTGGGTTCAAGCAATCTACCTGTCTTGGTTTCCCAAAGTGCTGGGATTACAGGTGTGAGCCACCACACTGACCTTCTTAATTTTGTTGATTGTTTCTTTTGCTATGCAGAAGATTTTTAACTTAATGTAATTCCGTTTGTCTATTTTTGCTGTTGTTGTTGTGCTTTTGAAGTCTTATCCATAAAATCTTTGCCCAGACCAGTGTCCTGAAAAATTTTCCCTATGTTTTCTCCTAGTTTCATTATTTCTGGACTCACATTTAAGTTTTTTATTCATTTTGACTTGATTTTTGTATATGGTGAAAGATGAGGGCTAGTTTCATTCTTCTACATATGGATAGCCAGTTTCCTCACACCATTTATTAAAGAGATCATCCTTTCCCCATTCTGTATTCTTGGCACCTTTGTTGAAAATTAGTTAGCTGTAAGTGTTTATATTTATTCCTGGGCTTTCTATTCTGTCCCATTGGTTTATATGTTTGTTTTTATGCGAGTACCATGCTGTTTTGGTTACCATAGCTTTATAGCATAATTTGAACTCAGGTTGTATGATGCCTCCCGCTTTTTTCTTTTTGCTTAGGATTATTTTAGTGACTTAATGTCTTTTATGGTTCCACACAAATTTTAGGACTTTTTGTTGTTGTTATTTCTGTGAAGAATGTCATTGGTATTTTTACAGAGGTAGCATTAAATCTGTAGATTGCTTTTGGTAGTATAGATATTTTAAGAATATTAATTCTTCCAATCCATGAACTGGAATATCTTTTCATTTTTCATGGTTCCCTCTTTAATTTCTTTTATCAGTGTTTCATCATTTCTGTGTAAAAATTGCAAATAGATATGTTGACTTCAATTTTTTGAAAGTTTGAGTAGAATTAGTTAGTATTAGCTCTTCCTTAAATGTATGGTATAATTCAGAGAATCCATCAGGTCCTGTGCTTTTTTTGATGGGAGACTGTTTATTACTGTATCAATTTTGTTACTCATTATTAGTCTGTTCAGGTTTTCTGTTTCTCCATGGTTTAATCTTGGTTGGTTTTATGTGTCCAGAAATTTATCCATTTCTTCTGGGTTTTCCAATTTATTGGTGTATAGTTGGTCATAGCAGTCAACATATCTTTTTATTAGCAAATATTTCAGTATAGAGCTATAAAATAAAACTCTAAAAATATAACCACAATAATATCATAAATAATATTTTAGGTTAATGTTAATTCTTTATCATCTAAGATACAGCCAGTATTCAAATTTTTCCAATGGTCTCATAATTTATTTTTAGTTTGTTTACATAGGATCTCAATAAAAGATGTACATTGCAATAGGTTGATATGTCACTTAAACATCTTTTAATTTATAGATTCCTCTGCATTTTTTCCCCTGAAATGTATTTGTTGACAAAGTTAATTTACTTCTTTTGGCCTGATTTTGATGTTTGACTTCCAATAATATTGCCTGGCATGTTTCTTCACTTCCTTTATTTACTGTGAATCAGCATTTAGATCTAGAGATTTAGCAGATTTAGTAAGAATACTTCATGCTGGGGTATATACTTCCATAGGGAGGCACATACGCCTAGTCATTTCTTTTTTTGCAGTTAGTGGCTCTTGATAAATGTTGCTTAGATTTATTAATTAATCAGAAATAGACTCTTCACTAGAGGTAGTAATAGAGTTTTGCTGTGTCCCCACCCAAATGTCACCTCGAATTGTAATAATCCTCACGTGTTAAGGTCAGGGCCAGGTGGAGATAACTGAATCATGGGGGCAGTTTCCCCCATAATATTCTTGTGGTAGTGAATAATTCTCATGAGATCTGATGGTTTTATAAATGGGAGTTCCCTACACGAGCTCTCTTACCTGCCGCCATGTGAGATGTGTCTTTGCTTCTCCCTTGCCTTTCACTATGATTGTTGAGACCTCCCCAGCCATGTGGAATTGTGACTCCATTAAACCTTTTTCCTTTATAAATTACCCAGTCTTGGGTATGTCTTTATTAGCAGTGTGGGAACAGACTAATACAGGTAGACTATAGGCTTTCAAGACAAAGAAAGATGGAGCTCTGAGGCAGGGGTCAAGGAGTTTGGGATCCTTCATTAAAACCTTTCTTGTCTTTCCTGGAGAATCCTTTTCCCCTGCTGTTTCCTGAGATGTCTGCCTCATGACCTGAGGGAGCTTCAGCCTGTCTAGTTAATTAAGAATGGCTCTTCTCTTTTTTAGATTTAATATTTCAATCCAAGGAAACAAATGATAGAAATATAACATGATTTGTAATTGTATACTTGATTACTACTAATGTACACATTTATACATGTATGTAAATATTTATTTACATATTTATAATTTTATGCCTTAGCTCTATTATAATCTTCCAGAATACATTCAATAATGTTTTGACTCGCTAAATGACACGTGCTACAAAACTAAAACTAGATGATATCATATCCCTCAGCCACCAAATGTTTCTGTCTAGGAGCAAACATTGTCCAAGATTTTGTATTTTTTCAGTCATAGTCTTTGGATAAACAAGAACGTATGACTATAGTGATTTACTTATAATTTGTGTGAGTATGGGTGTGCTTGTATAATTTATTACCTTCAATTAGCAATTATTACTGTATTTTATACTCCTGAAACTTTCCTTTGCATATGTGGTTACAGTTATATTTCTTTTTTTTAAATTTTAACTTTTATTTTAGATTTGAGGGTACATTTGCAGGATTGTTACATGGGTATATTGATTGATGTGGAGATTTGGGGTGCAACTGAACCCATCACCCAGGTAGTAAGCATAGCACCCAATAGGTAGGTTTTTAACTCTTGCCCCGCATGGCCCCCCTCTCTAGTAGTCTCCATTGTCTATTGTTCATATCTTTATGATCATGTGTACTCAGTGCTTAGCTCCAATTTATAAGTGAGAACGTGCTGTATTTGGTTTTATGTTCCTGTGTTAATTTGCTTAGGATAATGGTCTTCAGTTACATCCATGTTGCTGCAGTGGGCATGATTTCATCCTTTTTTATGGCTGCATAGTATTCCATGGTGTATATATACTACATTTTTTGTAACAAGTTGACCATTGATGGGCACCCGAGTTGATTCCATGTCTTTGCTATTGTGAATAGTGCTACAATAAACATATGAGTGCATGTGTCTTTTTGGTAGAATGATTTATTTTCCTTTGTATATCCAGTAATGGAATTGCTGGGCCAAATGGTGGTTCTGTTTTTATTTCTTTGAGAAATCTCTAAACTGCTTTCCAGTGGCTGGACTAATTTATATTCCCACCAGGAGTGTATAAGTGTTCCTTTTTCTCTGCAGCCTCACCAAATCTGTTCTGTTTTGACTTTTAATAATAGTCATTCGGACTATTCTTAGCTATGAGATAGTATCTCATTACAATTTTGATTTGCATTTCTCTGATTATTGATCTTTATTATTAATTTTTTAACATTAGAGTTGCTTCAGTTGTCTTATTATAAAAATAATACTCGATCCCTATAAAAATTAAAATTGTGTAGAAAGGTGTGAAGAAAAACTGAAAACCACATGTATTTATATTAATATTACCCAGATACTTTTTGTGAATAGAATTACATAAATTAATGCAAGAATTCAATGAAGTTATGGTAATAGAGGTACAAAAGAAATTCAAAATAAATAAGCAACACGTTAGACAGGTTTATGAAATTCTTTGACTACTGTTATCTGACACGAGTGATGCTGAACAAGGCAGATGTTACAGATTGGATATTAAAAGATTAATTGCTGGGTGCAGCAGCTCATGCCTATAATCCCAGCACTTTGGGAGGCCAAGGTGGGTAGATCACCTGAGGTCAGGAGTTTGAGATCAGCCTGAGCAAATGGCGAAACCCCGTTTCTACTAAAAATACAAAAAATAACCAGGCATGGTGGCACGTGCCTATAATCCCAGCTACTTGGGAGGCTGAGGCAGGTGAATCACTTTAACCCAGGAGGCGAAGGTTGCGGTGAGCCGGGATTGCATCACTGCACTCTAGCCTGGGTGAGAGAGTGAGACTCTGCCAAAAAAAAAAAAAAAAAAAAAAAGAAAAGAGAAAGAAGAAGATGAAAAAACCTGTGTAAGAAAGAGCCTAGGGAAAATGTAAAATGAGTAAATATCCTAGACCAGAATAACTGATGAATCAGATGAACCAAATAGAAATAAGCATGCGACATGAGCAGCCAGGAGAAAGCTTTCAGGAGCTACTGGAAGATTACTGGCATGTTGTTGAAGGACTCATTCAAGAGTAAAGATTATACAACTCTGAACAAGAAGTTTCCGAGTGTCTGTACATCATGCTGTGGAAAACCTGCTAAGTTTAATTTTAAAATATTGTACCATTTTACATACCTTAAAGTTATCTAGCTTATCTTTAGGTGAATATTTTCTTTTGGAGAGATCGTATATTTTAAAACCTGTTCAGAATGTGTGAGCATATATTACGCTTTTTAAAAGATATAGTTTCTGAAATACCCAAAGAACATCAGTTGCTTTTCTTCTTAAGCAGTATAATAAA